TCTGCACAACTTTTTAAACTGCTAAATTGTTCACCAAAGTGCCAATATCATTTTACTTTTTTCACCAGCAGTGTATGAGAATTTGAAATGCTCTAACTCCATGATACTTGGTACAGCAGATCTTTTTAATTTCTAGCCATTCTAACAGGTGGGTCATAGTGCATCATGATGGTTCTAATTTGCATTTCCCTGTTTATTGATTTTGAACATTTACATCTCTTCATGTGCTTTAATAAAGCATCTGTTTAAATATTTTGCCCAATTTCAGTATAGCATGGAGAAGACAATTAATGACTCTATAACATGTTACTACACTTATAGACAGTGACTGCAAATGAGGGAGGAGTTGATAATATGGGTGAATTTTGAAACCACTGTGTTGTTTATGTGAAACCATCGTAAGATTGTATATCAATGGTACTTTAATTTAAAAAAATTCACCCAGTAAATTGGTTTTCTTTTTTTTAAATTTTGGTATCATTAATATATAATTACATGAGCAACACTGTAGTTACTAGATCCCTCCCATTATCAAGTCCCCACATTACAGTCACTGTCCATTAGTATAGAATCACTAATGTCCATGCTATAGAATCACTACTTGTCTTCTGGGTTGTTTGTTTTCTTATTATTGAGTTTTGAGAGTTCTTTCTATGTTCTGGATACAAGTCCTTTATCAGATAAATGAACTGAAAATATCTTCCTCCAATCTGTGGCTTTTCTTTTCATTCTCTTAAGTCTTTCAATGAGCAGTAGTTTTTAATTTGTTTAAGCAGTTTTAACTTTTTAAAATTTTTGTTGGTTTTAAATTCTTTGAAGAAAAAAATTTTACCAATTTTTTTCTGAGACATCTTTGGCTAATTCTTGGCTGTGAAGATCTGCTTTTTTTTCTTTTAGAAGATTATTGTTTTCATTAAGTTTGACATTAGGGTTATGATCCATTTTGAGCTGAACAAGTAATAGAGATAACCAGTGAAATCAAAAGATGGAGGTAGATTAAGCAAGCAAAAAAGAGAAAAGACAATTACTAATATCAGGAAGGAAAAGAGACATAGTTACAGATTATACAGAAATTCTAAAAGAATAAAAGGAAATTTTATGAATGACTTTTTATGCCAATAAATTTGGTTACTTTGAAACAAATTCCTTAGAAGAAACAAATGATCAAAACTGACTCAAGAATAGAGAATCTCAAAACCCAATTAAAGATATTGATTTTGTAGTTTAATTAACTTTAATAAATTAGACTTTGTAAAAATGTATTAAAATGATTTTATATAAAATGTAAAACTTCTGTTCCTCATTTTCTTTGTTAAGAAAATTTCTTTATTAAGAAAATGTAAAAACAAGCCCTTATTCTGGGAGAAAAAACTGCATAAATTTATTTGTAATAAAGGACTTACATTCAGACTATATAAAGAACTGTCATAACATAATAAGACAATCCTATAGAACAGCCAAAAGATTTTAACAGATACCTCAGCAAGGAAAAAATACAGATGGTAAAAAAGCACATGAAAAAATGCTCACAACATCATTAGGCAGTAGGGAAATGCAAATTAAAACACAATCTTAATTAGATATAGTTTACCATAATAAAGAACTATGTTATTCCACCGTTAATATAGTTAAATATCCTATATTTAAAAGAAAATATCTGAAGAACTGAAATGAGATGTGAGCTATTGTTTGCAACTGGAGAAAATTCCAGTGTTTCTGATATAATGTAAGGATGTTTTGAAATAGTTTTAACTGATTAGGGATAATAATAGCATGTGTTGTTATTATAGGATAAACAAACCAGTCTACATTTGTTTAAAAAAATACACCCACACAACAAAAAAAGCAGTATATGCCCACTAAAATAGTAAAATTTAAAAAACTGACAATACCAAATTTTGAAGAGGATATGAAATTATAGAGATCTTAGTGGGAATGTAAATGATATAAGCACTTTTGAACACAAAAGCTCGTGGCAGCTTTATACATAACAGCCAAAACCAAGAAAACCTAACTGACCATCAACAAATTAATGTGTAAGTTATGTAATAAAAAAAACTTCTGTAACACATATTAACAAGAACAAATCTTATTATCATTGTCCTGAGTCAAAGAAGTCAGACACAAAAGATATCATACAGAATGATACCAATTATGTTAAGAACAAAACTAATCTATAAAAAAAAGCTGGTCAGTAGTTATCTGGAGGTGAGGACTGACTGCAAAGGGACACGAGGTAGCTTTTTTGAGGTAATGTTAATATACTGATGTGGTGACAGTTATGTTACCTTAAAATGTATCAAATTGCACACTTCATTATATATAAAGTGTATCTCATTACAGTTGATTAATTTTTAGATTTCTAACTTTAGTTCCAATGCTTTCTGCACTCAACGACTATTAAGTGATATTTTGGTAATTTACACAGACTTAAGACAATTTGGCTGCATATGAAAGGGAAAAGACTCAGGAAAGAACTTCCAAGGGCTCATCTAGCCCTCAAGAGACTATAACGCAAGGCTCTGGTTTACCTGTCACTGTAGAGTTTTAGAAGGTGAAAGCAGACATCCTGAAGTGGTCTCTGTGAGTCTTGTTCCTCCTCTACCACACAGCCAGAGCCCTCCAGATATGAAGGAAGTGGGGAGCAGGCATATCTGTCACTCTCAGAGATATTCTGAAGTGGAGAATTTGATGAAACAGTACATCAGCAGCTAATGTTTCACTAGACGCTATCGTGACTCAATTACTAAGACACATATATTAAGAATGATGCAGATGTGACACCCTAAAGGAATGTGTTAAGGATTTTAAACTTATTTTGATCAATGATATATTCTACCTGTCTTTCAATGGACTGTCAAAGACTTCAGAGAGCTCACTCTAAACTTCCTCCCATTTTTTCTTTCACACTCAGCTTCTTTAGCGTTTTCTTTTTCCTGACAAATAATTCTGACAAATGACATCAATGATAATAAATATGGACAGCAGAACAGAAGAAGTGATGGCATTAAAAACTACAAACTTGAGCCTCAACACTGACAAGGAATATCAAATGTGACAATGTTCAGAGGCAAATTTCAGACCTGCTAATTTGGGGATATAACAAACCTGAAGTCAGACCACATCTCAGGCAATTCACATAAGAGTTAAGACAGCTTTAGAACAAGAAAAACCGTCTGATGTGGAGGCAGGAAAACAACTGTGGTATCTCATCATATTAAAAAGGAGACACTTGGAAAAGTTCAAGAGTAGCCCGGTCCAGGCGAAGAAGAAAAGTTAACTTTTCTATCAGATTTCCTGGGTCCATTTCAGTTTTATGGTACTTTTAAAGAAAGCAGTTAGGAAAAAAGTATTCTAAAATGTGACTTGTTGCTTTCTTCTCTGCAGTACTTTCTGGTAAAAAGAGAACTCCTACCAGGACTCTTCCTTGGTTCTACTGGACACATATACCTGAAATGCTTCTTCATACATGCTGAGTGCCCTAGAAATGGAGGCTGTTGGTGGAAGCAAATACCAAAGGTGGACAGCCAGGGAGCGTTTCCAGTCCAGCTGGGAGCATACATTTATCTGCTTCTGTTCTGAAAGTTGCCATACCTGCAGGAGACAGTGTTGTTATCACAGGTAATATACATTACCTTGCTACTGTTCAGGTCTACAAGTTATTCACTTATTCAAGTAACATTTTAAATGGTCTAGATGGCAGTGTTAATGATCCAGATACAAAACACATTGTCCCTTGGTGGTAGGTGAGAGGGTGGATTTAGACCTTCAGTGCTCTAAGAAGAGAGGAGAACCACTGACAGCAAAGAGGAGGTTTTCTCAATGTCCACAGTTGCCAACTTAAATCTTTAAGACATGCATAAATTCTGACCAGTTATTTCATATTTGGAAATTGACTTTAAGACTACAATCAACAGGTAGGCAGCGATAGAGAACTGGCTTAAAATAATTATGGTACTTCCTCCATAAAATGGAATAGAGTAAGTCATTAAAAAGAATGATGCTGCATGACATGAAAGAATGTCCAGATATAATTTTTTAAAAAGTTTAAAAAAAGTTGCAGAACTGCTTTGTATATTTTCTTTGAATATACAAATATGTAAATAGGCACAATATAGCTTGATACAGAATTAAAATATCTGGAAAGACAACAAAGTATTTACTTTTCTTATCACTACAATATGAGAAATGGCAGATTTTAATGTTTTAATTTCTATAAATCTAGCTTTTACAATGTATGTTGTACCTTTATAATCTGACAGCATTTCCATTAAAATTTAAAAGTTGCTTAGTCAAGTGTAGTAGTGTATGATTTACAAAAACAGCTCTTTGCCTTAACCTCAAGCAATTTCTAATTTATGAGAAAAATCTGTGTGAGTTTGTGAGAAAAGAGGAAAATACCGGTTTTCCAGCCAACAGGGCAAAAATGCGCAGTCTCTCATCCTGGATGAAGCTGTCAGCCTGGAGCTGATGCCAGTCTACCAGCTGCATGGTTAGCAGCTCCCGGACTGACTGGCTACCCACCAACTGGGATAAAAGAAGGGCAAGACGATGATCACCTGGTAAGAGAAACAGATATTCTCTGGTAATCATGGAGATTTATAGACTTGGGGAAACACTTGGAGGCATTACCGTATTTCTTCTAGCCCTCAGGAGAACTTTACACCTGTGACTGCTTTCTGCAGTAGTGCCAAAATACTGATCAAGAACTTACCATTTTCTGCATGGGTAGAAAATCTTCCAAATATCTTAATCTAAATTACTTATAGATGGTATATTATAGAGAATTCAATGACATCTACTTCTACTTCTGTTCTAGACAAACTACTTCCTCTATAAAGTGGAGAAAAATATCTGACTCAAAGGCTTGTAGTTAAAAACTGAGATGTCACTGAAAACATACCCAACTAGTAGAATGACACCAAGAAATGGCCAACTCAAACCTAAAGTAAAAACATGCCACCTGTATATAGTGTAAAGAGAACTGTTGAGTCTTTCACTCTCATGGGTTCAATATTCTCTTTTAATAAAATTTTTTAAGCACAAAGGGCTGGGGCAATAAAAAGATTCTAATTAATGAGAATATAAGGGGATAGACATTCTTTACAAGGATTTCCAGTCATTAGTTAAGAGAAAAATTGTTTCAGCCCTAATACAAACTTCCTAAAAGTCAACAGTCCTTTACTTTTTGTTTTTGTATATGGGTCAGTGCTTATATGACTAAAGTACCATCCTGCCAGAAACTGAGACTGTTAAGATTCACAAGCCAAAGAAGCTTAGGAAAGAAATCATACAACAGGAACACATCTGGAAGTGTGCTATTAGGTAAAGTTGTCTCTCTGATTGTATATAGGTTACCAAAGCAGGACTGAACTATGATTCATGCAGTAACTGCTGTGGTCCATATGAGCTATTAGTATTCTAGGTGAATAATAATAAAAGAAAAAAGGAAGGATTATTTCTGTATATTTATAGAACCCAAAAAAGAGGACTTATTTAACAAAAAATACAAATATTCTGGTCACTTAAGGTGGTCAAGTTCAGAGAGGAACTTGTGTATCAAAGCTTACTACAAATCATTAAGATCCTCTCTTTGCTCTGGTAACAGCAACCAACCAATCAGCTTCTGTTAATCCTTGGCTTGTCACACAAACATTTCCAATGACAAGAACCTATACTAAACAAATGGCAGGATTCTAGGTACTTTCTCAAGGTGATTTTAGTGTATGGTGTGAGGTAAGGATCTAAACTCATCTTTTGCATATGAATGTCCAACTACCCATTATTTGTTGAAAACACTACCCTTTCCACATTTAAGTTGTCTTGGCACGTTTGTCAAGAATCGATTGAATATAAGTTAAGAGGTTTTATATTTGGATTTGCCACAAAAGGCACTGAGACAAATGTATAGTGATAGTGGAATGCAACTTCTCATTTATGTAGGTTATTCATTTCTAGCTTTTCCTGTAATTTGTGCCCTTTATAGTCCCAAAATTAGCCAAGCCCTCAAAAAACAAATCCAGCTGATAGCTCCAATTAGTTGCTTTTAGATAAACTAGGTTCTAGTAAACAAAATTTGATCAAGGATCTAATCATATATAGATTACACTGAACTATGCCAGCCTTTATTCTTACCAAGATTTATTGTTAAATAGTTATTAAGTACTTGATGAATACCTCTCAATGGAAAGGAAACTAAGAAAGCATGTATATGAGAAGTCCTTAAAAAAAAAAAAGCCAAGTAAATATCTCAACACAGAAATTATACTTCTACATATTTATTTTTTGAATGACATAAGGGAATTGGTGCAAAATACATTTTGTTTAAGAGGCTCAGAGTATTGCTTAGAGTAGAAAAGAAAAAGCTTAAATGTCAAAAAAGGAATTTGCTAACATACACATATGTATGTATTTATATATAAAAGAATACAAGCATGTGATCGTAATATCTATATTATAGGACATTTAAATGTATTACTTGAAAAGAACAGAGAACATTATATATATACATACATACATATATATATGTGTATATATATATATATATATATATAGCAGGATACCATCTGAAAAGTTTACATGCATACGTTGCTGTGTTAATATTTACATATATTGTTATTTTACAAAGTAAAAGTCTAAGTACAAATTGCACACTGAAATGTTTACAGTGCATAATAAGGAATTCAGGTGGTTTTTGTTTATTGTGTTTTGCTTATTTGCATTTTCTAGTTTTACTACAATGTATGTAGCGTTGTAATTTAAATTGTAATCATTTTAATTAAGTAAATTTAATGTTTAAGGTTGTAAAAAGAAAATGAGAAGACACAGTCCCTATTCTGGAGGAACTAGCAATCTTCCTGGGAGTCTATACTTAGTATTCAGGTTAGAAGACAAAGCAAATCCACAACTAAGGGGTAGGACAAGGAGTGGGATGCAGGAAGGGACCCCATGACCCACCTGAGTGCTGGGCCAGAGAGCAGGCCTCGCTGATCCTCTTGCCCGTGAGGTAGCTGAAGACAGCCTCCACAGGGTTGTCTTTTTGAGATAAGGAGACTTCCTCCTCAATTTGAGGTGCGGCAGTATGGGAGAGCCAGCGAGAGAAAGCTCTTCTTCGTTCCAGAATCCGAATGTATTCACTGGGTTCATCCAGCTGACCATCAAGCTCCTTCAGGTGGCCCCACAGAGCTTCACATAATGTCCACGTTAGGCTCCAGTGCTTCACAACTACGGAAGAGACAGGAAAGCAATGCCATGACATGAAGTCTTACAATAACCATGGAGAGGGCATCATTCTGGTTGTGGTATAAAAATACATAAATTAACAAACACCCCAAACAACCACTCAAACTGATTTCTGACTGTCTACACTTCATTACTGCTTGCTCATTCCATGTTCCTGCAGGGTACTTGTACAACAAATATAACTCTAATCTCCTTTAAACAGTTTCCCCTACCTTAATTATGTCTGATGAAACCTCAAATGATACAGGAAAAGTCCTATAATTTGCTCAAATTCTGTTTGCAAAATGTCTTAAGAACATGAAGTGCTCTAAAAACTTGTGAGGGATTATTCTCTTCTGCTATAGGCACAGCCTAACATTTAGTAAGCCTAATGGCAATGTTCAAAGCTTATGAGTAAATTAACTCTACACAATATAACTATGCATTTTACAGGTTAGGAACCTGAGGTACACAGCAGTTAAGTGACTTCTCAAAGTTATAGGCAGTAAGTTGCAAAGCCAGGATTCAAACCCAAGTAATCTGAATCCAACTGTATACTCTTAACCACTATGTTATATTGCCCCTCATGAAGGAAAACAAAAAGGAAGCATTGTTTGCCACTTTGAGCCACTTTCAAGTATGCACTGGTAAGATGACTCATATTTCTTAAAAGATGATGACACAACTGAAGAAAACACAAAGAACTGAACATAACAATCCCCAAAAGGTGTGGTGTAAGTCGAAATTGTCTCCATTTTTCAATAAAGGTGATGTGAAATGATTTTTTGACTATTTGTAACGGTTAAGTTCCCAATTAGAAAAGTTTTTATTAAAGTACTGATTCAGAAAAACACAGTCACAGTAGGTATAGAAAGGTAATAGAGTGAGAGGTCAGGAAGGAAAGTTAAAAGCATCAAAGTTATTGGGAAGACCAAGTGAGATTTAAGCTGGACATGGAAGAATGGGTAAGATTTAGAAAATCTCTCCCTTTTTTTCTCTGGGTGGGGAAGGAATGCAGTTCATAAATCCAAAGGATTTGACTGCCTACATCTCCTGTGAATAAAGATTTATAGGTTAAAGATCATAAAACTAATTTAATCAGTGATATAATTTCTTCCTGCTTGGGATTTTGCTCATCCCAACTCAATCACAGACAGGTGCAAGCTGAGGCATCCACCCAGTACATTGGCATAAGGATACCTGTCTTCCTTTGAACACATGCTTCTTCCTGTTTCTGGGACATCAAAGGTTAGAAGCATAGTCTATACTCACTTTGTGCTTCCAGTAAGTCTCTTGATGCTTCCTTAACCCAATCTGCATAGTCATGAATGACAGCAACTCCTGGATTGGGGACAATGAGAGGACACAGCTCATCCACATGGACAGTGCTATGTTTTAATTTGAGCTCCAGAGGTGTCTGATATAACTGCAGCTCTTCATCTGGCTTCTTTTGTCTCAAACTGAGTTTTTCCAAATGAACTTTGAATGGGGACTCAGTTAGGCTACAAGGGCAAATGACAAACAAGACCAAAAATGAAGACAGATGCTAGAATTATCCTACAACCAAACCTTTTTTTCTTTTCATAACTACAAACAGAATGCAATATAATCCACTATGATTTTTAAAAATTATTTCCTAATGTCCAACTATATTGAACTTATTTGTTACATACTGAGTAAGCTAATTATCTAAATCCAGTACATTCAGAATCCAAAAGCTTCTTAAGCCAGGTTATAAAGTATGGGAATCAGTACAATTAGACTTGGAACTGGCTTCTGCACGTATCTGGATATTATGAAATCTAAGGAACAAAAGCTATTATGGGATACCTGTTTCTCAAATTATACTTAATGAGGTATGAAAAGTCACAGGCTAAGCTTACAAATATTGAAGAACTGACTCTAAGATGAACACACAATCTAGCCTTGATCCAATTTTTAAGATCAATATTAACAACTGACAAAATATCACATCATGTATAACCTAACTTTAGAATTAACATTCCTAATAGTGAGATTCAAGAGATGGTGCTTTTTCACTTCTTCAAGGTCAACTTTAAAAACTGAGGATAATCAATGATACCTTAATTAAAAAAAAAAAAAAACTAAGGATAACAGGTGATTAAAGTCACTTAATCTGTAGTAGAGCACAATTCGTTATAATTGTAAAAAGTAAATAGGAAAATGTTACACACTTTGTACAAAACAACTGTATGCATATTACCTAATAATGGTGGGGACTGTGCAGAAATCCATAACATATAGTTACCAAATGTCACCTTATTTCCAAATATCTATGCATGGATTATCCATAGTTCATGCATTCACCTTATCACGTCTAAGATACAGGAAATATGCTTAGTTGAGAATATACCTTATATATATGAAGAAATCACAAATGTCTAAGTGAGACAATAGAAAAAATGACTAATGCAATAAAAGGGATAAAAACCCAAGGAATGACACAGCACTAGATTTGGGTTTGTTACTTTTCCAACTAAAGTTTAACAATTAGGTAAGTATTACATACTCTTCATATCCTGATAGCACAATAGGATAATCTTATTTTAGTTTTTAATTATATAAATATCTTCTGCTACCTAGAATTATGCTAAGAATATACCTAGAAACATCACAAGGTAGGACCCTGGCACTGGGTATTCTGATGATGAAAAGATTTTTCTCATCCATCTGACTTTCTCAAAAAGAACAAGGAAATGTGACTCACAATTTAACAGCTACTGGATTAGGCAGGAATCCATATTCCATAGAGTCAGCAATCTGATGATTTTCCAGTTCACAAGAGCCACTCAGCTGCTCTCCACTATTAGCAAGAGTCCAGTTGGGGCCCCAACCAACCCGAAATGAGCGTCCCATAAATAGGGCCATGTCCATCAACAGTTTCCCCTTGCCATAAGCGACAGACTTTTCAAGAGGGACTAAGCCCGGTTGTCTGCGTGTACCCACTGTTTTCAACTGAACCTCAGGGGCTGGACTGGGCACTGTAAACACAGAGGTCAGAGGTGGTGAGACAGACCAAGGGGATGTGGATGGTATATTCATCAAAGACGATGCTTTGGGAGTGCGACATTCCTGCATAGAGGCACTTGGTGAAAGAAAAACTCCACTTGTAAATTTTGATTGTAGTAACCCACCAACTGAAATAAGGGGGAAAAAAAGACTTAGAAAAAAACAGTCTATTCTTTCTTGAATAATAACAATCAGTGAGGCTGAAATTACAGTTTTACCAAACTAATTAAATCAGATATAGATGACCAGAAGCAGCTTAAGTCAGATTCTGTAGAAATTACTCTTTCTATCAGGGAATCATAGCAGGAATTCTAATGATGATGGTTTCAACAATAACAGCACTAATGACAAACAATACTACTACTATTTAAAAAAATCACCTAGCATTTAACTGTTGCAGTTTCTGTATAGGTTCATTTGTATACATTGTTTCATTTCACCTTTCAATAACTTTAATCCTCATTTTCTAGATGGGAAAACTGGGCTCAAGTAAATGACTTGTCTAAATCCACAAAGCTACTAGTGGCTGGACTGAGAGACAAGCCCAGGTAAATCTGACACGTGCTCATGCCCTTATCATAATGCCAAATGTAACATTCTCAGTCCATATAAAAAGCTTAAGATCAAAATTCAAATTCTCATTATTCTGATGATTGAGTATAGACTTAAAGAAACAAAAGGCCACCAAGTCATCTTGTGATTGCATATGTGCCTTTCAGAAAGACAGTTCTTATTATTGCCCATTTTCCAATTTTATATGGTTCCTGTCCACAGCAAGGAGCTAGTTGTTGAAGTGTGTGATTTTCAAGTAGTACCCATTATGGAAAAGGTTGTATGAATGTTTAACTGGTGCTTTATTGAAGTACTTAAAAAAAAAAAAGTTATTTAGCAAGGGCACTCAAAAGAATTGAAAAATGAAGATTTAATTTTTAAGGCAACATAAATCTCTTCCTGGTATTTCCTCTGTTTTTCAAAATGTTTTGAAATTACATCTATTTAAGTTATTTGTTGACATCAATACTCTTACCTTCAATCCCACTAGAAAAGAGAAAGCTTTAAAATCAAGTATGTAACCACTTCCCTAGGAACTTGGGAAGGTTTAGGGAAAAGCAGAAATCTGACAAGTTCTATGCATTATAAAAGGCAACATTTGTTCCTAGAAGGCATTTAGGATAGTGTTACTGCACAAAAACACTACAGTGTAGGACCTTTACTGATATGGTGTGATAAAAATTAGAAAATCTGAATTAACAATCTAATCTACATTTATAAGCAAATAAAAATGGATCTGAAACAAAATATAAATACTCTGTTCTCCATACAACTTCTGCATATGTACCAATAAAACTAATCATGGTCTTAAAAACACTATCCACACCTGACAGTATAGGAATATTTGCTTGAGAAGTCAATTCAGCTTATTAGAAGTACATGAGTAGCATCTTTTACAGTACCTAATGAACGGGATTTTGATGAGTGGGATGTTGAAATGGGGAGCCTGGGAGAACAGATTTCTTGAGAATTATCTGCTTTGGAAGGAAGGCGACTGAAATGATCCAGGACCATATCTACATCTTCTTCATCAGCAAGCAATGATGCTTTCATGATCTAAAAAGGCAATACCTTTAGAATTAATATGCTGCCTCAAATCCAAAACACAGTTTACAATTATCAATCAATTGCTCTGCCTCAAGGCTTTTGTCCAGAGCCAGTTTAACATGTGTGTGACTGACTCTATTACATTGTATGTGCCTGCAGGATAGAAGTTATATACAGTTGAGCCTTGAAAATTGTAGCGGTTAAGGGTGCTGACTCCCCATCAGTCAAAATTTTGTGTGTAACTTTGACTCTCGAAAAACTTAACTACTAATAGCCTACTGTTGACCAGAAGCCTTACAGATAACATAAGCAGTCAATTAATACATATTTTGTATATATGTTATATACTATATTCTTACCATAAAGCTAGAAAATGTTTTCTCAAATTGTTGCAAACCTCCAAAAAAATCTTCAAATATATTTATTTAAAAAAATCCACAAGTAAGAGGACCCCACATAGTTAAAACCCATGACATTCAAGAGTCAACTGTAATATTCCTCTTTGTATATATGAGTTTTTGCCAGAACCTGGCACACAGTAATTGCTCACCTGTTTGCTCAATGAGTAATTTTCAAGTCAAACATAAGTCAAAGGCTAAACTCCTAACATGCTGAAAGGCATGGGAAATTTGAGACAAGAGTTGAAAGAAGTATCTACTGGTTTTTTAAAAAAACTTTTAACTTTTGTGGAGCACTTCTCCAGAACCTCAAAACAACCCTATGAAGTAAACAAAATAATATTGTATAGAGAAAAAATCAGTGCTCACAGATGTTAAATGACTTGCCTAAAAGACAAATAGTAAGAGTTTAAAGATTGGGGTTAGAATCCAGTCTTCTGTATCTCAATATAGCCTTTCCTCCCCAAATGGGAAAATGAAGCCTAAACAGATCCATATTTCTGTTTTCTCTCAGTCCAGTGACCCCTCAGTGCTCTTAAGTGAACAATCAAGGAAATGGTCTCTTGTTATACAAGAGAGATAAATATTAGTTTTATATTTAATATAAAACAGCATTGTTGTAGTAAGGGTGGGTTAGAAATTCACCTGCAAGACATGTGGATTAATTCCCAGTGAAGATGCAATGTGTGTTGAGGCAGACACAGGTTCCTGATCTTCAGGCACGCTCTCTTCTAATATGGAATCCGAAACTGGCTCCTGGGTGATATCTACCATGTCACTGTCCAGTTCCACAACCCTCCCTAACTGCTCCACTTCTGGGCTCTGGCTCTGTAGACAGCAGAAAGATCAGGGAAGCAGCATTAAATTACAAAAATAGACATAGACCTTCTAGACCACATGTAGTTCATGCAGAATGATATAGCAATAGGAAGTTCTGACCATTCTATGATAATGTGAGGTAGCATATTTGCTCAAGAGGACTCAACAATTACCCCAAATCTCCCCTGTAAGTACTAGAAATCCAAATGAGGATTCATGGCATCACGCTTTTGTAATATTATAGTTTGGTGTCTAGAATCTATGCCAGCACTGATACTAAACAAACGGTAGTCTTCAAAGATTATGTCTTACATGATTTAGCTAGCAACTGTAATTTTGATTTCTATGGCATTAACCCTGCATCCTCACACTGTCTTATAGCCAGAAGTCATTGGGAAAATAGAATAAAAGATACAAACATCAAAATTTCCGGTAACTATTCAATTTCTTAAAGAAAACATTAAGAAATAAATTTATAGTTAACACTATTCTGGACATAGCATTTGTATCTTGGGTGACTAAATCCTAAGGTTAGTTGGGTTCTATCTATGCAGTACAGTTTAGGATACAAGGAATGCTACTCTAATTTCCCAAAATGAAAAACAAAGTAATAATATTAGGAACAATTTTGACATGGGAATAATTTCTTTATGTTTGAAAATTGTCAAGAGTTATATTTACATTTATTAAACAGCTTTAAAGATATAGCCATGACTCAGAGAAAGACAAGTACTAAATGATTTCACTCATTTGTGGCATGTAACAAAGCAAAACTGAAGAACAAAACAGCAGCAGACTTACAGACTCCAAGAAGGGACTAGCCGTTACCAAAGAGAAGGGCTTAGGGAGAGTGGGTGGGGAGGAAGGGAGAAGGGGATCAAGGGGCATTATAATTAACACTCACAATATAGGTAGGTGACAGGAAAGGCAGTATAGCACGGAAAAGACAACCAGTGACTCTACAGCATCTTATGATGCTGATGGACAGTGATTGCAATGGGGTAGGGGGGTACTTGGTAATATGGGTGAATGTTGAAACCACAATACGGATGAATGTCGAAACCACAATGTTGCTCATGTGAAACCTTCATAAGATTGTGTATCAATGATACATTAAAAAAAAAGATATAGCCATGACCAACAGTTTATGGTTTGAAAAGTAAACACTTGTAAAGCTTTTAAGATAATTGGTTCAGTACAAATTCATTAAATATGTCCTAAATTTGAGTATGACCTGGTAAAATGTTAGTAAGTGGCTAAGCCAATTAATGAAACATTCTCAAATCAAAAGTTCTATCAATTATTTTTCTTATCATAGTACCATTTGTAGATTATTAACCTCCCACAATTTTTGGCTTATCTTTCACAAATAGCCTATTTCATGCTAAACCTCAAATGGTGCTATTATAGAAGAGATAGTTAAAACATTTTTTTTCATTATTTCTTTGGACAAAGAAACAACCATTAGTGTAACCTTTTCACTTTATTTTTAATGGTTTATTAGCCATTGCTTCCCTGCATTCCTGTAATAAAAATCCTTACTAAAAGAACTTTGTTCCTATTTAATTATAGAAAAACTGAGGTATTGGATACCACTTAAGATATGAACAATCCCCAAGAAATGCTCTAACAAAACTGAAGACTAGATAATGATCAAAAGGCAAAGATGATACTATTTTTTTTTACCTTTTGGGGAAGCTATAATGCAGGTCTGACTACTGTGCTTTAAAATTCTAGGAAAAAAAAAAAGCAACCCTGGTGAAGATGCACCCATGATAATTATAAGGATTACAGGAACACTTCACTCCAGTAGCTCCTTAATGTTAGTTTTTAACCAATTCACTTTTAGGAAACTCTCCTCTGTTAACCTGTCAGTTAGGATACCCTTCCTCTGTTGGGCCTTGTCTGTACCTATGTTATATGATGTCAGGTTGTACTGTAATTTCTTGCATATTTATTTTGTCCCACCAGACTGTCAAGGCTTGAAAACAGAGATTATGGCCTATGGTTTTCTATATCTAACACCAAGCACATGGTTAAATTCAACATTTGCTGAACACTTTATTATTTCTGTTGCCTAATGCAGTGTCTGGCACACCGTAAAGAAGGCAATAACAATGAAAGGACAAGAAGGAGTGAAGATGGTTGGGAGAAAAGGAAAAAGGGTGAGGATGGCTTATCACACTACTCAACAAAAGAATAACATCAAGAATTGTTTACTTAGAACACTTTTAGGCAAAACAGGGGGAGATTTCATCAAATAACTAGATTTAGAGACCTAAGGGATCAATCATATCTTTAAGAAGAACGCTGAGGATCAAGATTTTTTTCACTCCACCCTCATATACAGACTTCAAGTTATGAAATGTCATCTAGTATGTAGATAAGGAAATGAATTACTGTTAAACTATGAGGACCTGGTAAGTTCCTAGAATTCTTGATATATGAATTTTGTTACATTATATCTAAGTAATTGCAATAACCACCTCCCTCCCAAGTCCCCAAAAGATGTCTGTGTACGTTTTTCAGAGAAATCTTGGGAGACCAGGTGTTTCTTCAAAGCTAGTCCTGGAAAGACAAGTAAACTAATGAAAAAGTGATGGCTCAAAAATTGAAGAGGAAATTTAAAAAGGAAATCCCTGGGATCTATGGAAAAGAAAGGCAAATACTAGGAGAAGCAGTCAGAGTATCATTTTAACTCTCCCTTTCCCACACTGTAACCTCTTAAAAGTAGTATGTCTTTTTTATGTCCAAATACCAGCAGAAGTACATTACAAATACTAAGTATACAGATAACATCTGTGAAATGACTATTATATATGTAAGTATATGTATATATATATATATATATATATATATATAGAGAGAGAGAGAGAGAGAGAGAGAGAGAGAGAGAGGTTTCATGACTGAAACCTTTAATGATTTTAGAGACCTCTACTCTCCAACTCAAAAGAATCTTCCTCATACAAAGCTGCCAATACACTAAAGATACAGCATCTCCTAATGCAGTGGGTAAAGTAATTCAAGTAGGTAAAGAAAATAAAGATGCCCTTATTCAAAAAAGGGTCAACAACTAAACTTGGTCAAACAGAGATTTAAATAATTCATACTGTACTCTGAGCCAAATATTTAATCCAGTATTACTACTGTTGCCTGCCTCCAAAGCAACTTGTTTTCTAACTGCAAGTAATATATATATTCGTTTTGCTGGAAAACCTGCCCTGTCAACAATACTGTGTTCTCCCAGAAATTCCATGTCAGGGTGTCAACGGCTCACCAAAGTAGCATGTATGTTTCTACATATATATTCAAAGACATTACTGCATAAGGCATAGGAACCAGAAAGACTAATACCTGGAGCAAAAAGGCTTGTGGCTACACAACCATTTTTATGTATCTTTATATAATATATAGATTACATAAATACATAAAATACTAAATATTGATTCATTGGATAAATAGATATGGCTGCCATTCTGTTTTTTTAAAGTATACACAAGATGAAATGGGATTTTCTTTAAAATTTTTTAAAAACTTATTTGAATGTGCTAAGTAAACAATGCTGTTACTGAGCAAGTCAAGTAGTCTGCACCTTGATGGTTATGAACACGTTACCTTTCAGTATAAGGTTGAGGTAAAAAGCTACATTTCTCTCTACCTGAGTGCCAAAGATCTGAGGTCTATCAACAAACAGTTCTGAAACCTGGCCGTATATTTCAATCAACCGGGGAAAAGAATTTAAAATATAAATATGCATGAGCTCCATGCCAAATCTATGCAATCAAAGGTTACCTAAGTATATTGATCCAGTCAGCTGAAAACTGGATCTCAGGTCAGAATTTTGGAACTTGTGTTCTAGTGACCAAACAAAATATTTCTGTAGCTGCCCTAATTCATCTGTGTGATGAAGGTTTATCTGCTAACATTTTCTCCAATTTAAAAGGAATAGAAGAGACGATTATGTGAAAATTTAGTTACCTTTTTGTTTTCTGTTACTTAGATTTACTTGGTCTTTTGAGAGCAAAGCAAAGCTTAAAAACAATGTGAATGAGGGGATTGAGTATACAATATAAAAGCAACAGAATGTGACCATTAAACAAAAATGTAAATCTTCCCAATACATGAAGAACCAGCCCCCCAAAGTCAGGGAACCTGAGATTGTTAAAGGAAAAAATATGCTACAGCAAACTGAAGAAACATCATACCATGGAAATCAACCTCTCCAGGTGGCCAGGTGATAGTGTGAAAATAGCCATCTTGAGGCTTGGACAAAAAGACTGTGCTGTCTGCCCCCCAGTTCATTTAAATGGCTCAAGTATGTTCCTCATGCCAAGTAGAATGTAGGCCTTTGGTGCTAATAACCAAATTACTATGAAACCACTGGCATTTTGCACATGCATCCCTTAGGTCACAGGGCAATATGAAGGAAGACTTCTCCAGAGTCCCAGATTATTGTTCTAACACATTAGTCTGAATATTTAAACAAGCCATTTCTCCTATTTCTAATTACCCCATCCAAAAGATCGAAGACCAGCTCTTTTCTCAACCAAGGGAATGTCAGAAAAAGATCCCCATTCACTGTAAGGATCAAAATGGGCAAGAATACACTGAACAGGGCTCTTCCCTATAACCTTGTTCTTCTGAAAATTTTTGGTGCTGTTTTTCACAGAGCTCTCACCTACTAGTGTCATCACAGGAGTTTACAATTATTTCTTACCATTAATATTCTGGAAGTTAAAGCTAAAAACCACTGATTGTCAACATTACAAAATTTGCTGTCTGTCCACAGATGAAGCTTTTCTTTTTCAGCTGCATCTTTAGAATCCTACGTATTACTTTTATTGGTAGAAAAGAAGGTTCTCTCTTCTCCTAAGAAATAGATGTGAAACTAAAAAACACTTTGGAAAGAACTATACAAAGTATATAATTCAGAAAAATTGAACACAGATAACGAGAAAACCAAGTCCATTTACAGCATTTTTTTTTAGTTCAGAGGAGTTTTTTTTAGGGGGTATTCTAAATGCTACAAAGATTATAAACATAAAAGTCAATATATTTCCCATTTCCCACCTTTATCATACCCTACTGTATGCACAAACATGAACATACATACACAACAATCTCCAGAAAATGCCTCCCAAGTAATTATTTAATAAACCATAAAAATCACACATTTCAGCAGCCATAAGAATTGTAGCATGGAAAATTCCAAAGGACCTGCTTTTAGCAGCTGAGAGGTAGAGGATTTACTGGCTTTACAAAGAAATTTTATATCAAGTTTTCTTCTTTGAGGGAGTATGGCATCAAAGAAAAGAATTTTTATAACTTGATTCAACATAAACAATATCCAAATGAAAGTAGAACTCTTTATGAGTTGGCAAAGAAACTACCTGATATTTAAGTTACAAACCTTTCCCTACACGGACAAAATTCTTATACTGACTTAACAGTACTGAAAAAGAGTATGATACAAGTAATCACAATAAACAATCCAGCCCCTACTCTCCATCAAGTAATTGATTGTATTCTAAACCTTTTTCTATTTCATAAAGATTATGCATTGTTAAAATACAAATATCAAGAGTTTATCTGAAGTATAAGCAAACAACTTGAGAAAAAATGGAGTTAAAAACCCTTGTAGAAAGCTAATTGAATTTTTGAAAAACCACAGAGGTAAAGAACAAGCTTAAACTTTACATCAGATAGTCAACAAAAATAGGATTTACTGTGCATCAACCCACACAAGCAAAATGCTATCTTAAGTTGATCACTGAGCAGAGATTTCAGCAAGTCCAAATTAAAGAGAGGGAGGTGTTTAAGAATGACAATCTGTAGAAGGAATGATCCAAACAGCAAGAGAATTCTTTAAATCTCTCAAGTAAAAAACTGAAGCCAGTACCACCTCAGGCCCTCCCTTGTACTTGTCTCAACGTGATTGCCAATACATTTGTACTCTTCAAAGTTCCAGGGGTCAGAAAACAGCTTTGTACTAGCTGAATGACTTGCTTTCAACTTCTGCATCACGGATTCCATTCAAATTCACTGTCCTGTCTCTACCTGGGGTGGAGGTGCTGGCTTGCCATTAAGAGCCATCTGGAATGGGGTGGGCTGGCCCGCGGGAGGTAAAGGAGCAGTCTTCAGCTTCTTTGTGCTAGTTTTGGAGGGCCGTTCCTCCTCCTCTTCATCAGAATCCTGAAGGCCATACTTAGAAAAATGGGAGACCTAAGGAAGAGAAGAATCCAACAAAATCAATTTTACATCTGTTAAATTCAGAAGAGCTTCCACAATACTTCCAGAATTAGCTAGAGAGAGAGAGAGAGAGAGAGAGGAGAGATATGAAAATATTTGAAGCATAATGAAATGTCACCTGTCACACTTTACTGTTTTTCTAAGATTTAGATGATGTTTGGGTGCATGTACTAGCTGCTTGTATAATTACTAAATGAATATATTAATATAAGAACCCAAATCCAGTTTCATATCTACATACTGCCTAGTTGGTTGCTATCTATACAAGGGCCTTCAACAAGTTAAATAATCCAACTAGACTAGAAGAGAAAAGAAATTGGGTTAAACTATCAAGGAAGGGAGGAAGTCAATCTCTACATCTCCAGAAATCTTTTTAAAAGATACAAAAAATTCTGACATCCCTAATGGTGCCACACATTAGGGAAACCAAACCTCAGAGGTGTATCTAAATGCTCATAGGATGGGGTAGAGGATTTGAATCGTAAGTGCATAAAGCTTAACTCCTTATTTCTCTGGTTTTAACCAGAATTTATTTTGGAGAACATCATGATATACCTCTGTATCTGTTTCCTAATTTGCAAAAATAAAAGAGAATTTAAGAGAAGCCCTCTTCTAGCACAAACATTTTGTCTCTTAACTACAGTTTATGTTTATAAGAACTAGGTTAAGTGACTATACCTTAAACACCCAAGAACCCGTTTCAGGACGGTACTCTTTGAACTGAGCTCCCTGTTTCCTTGAAGCTGCTTCCAATCTTCCCTCATAGTTGATATCAGCAAGTCGATCTGGGCTCTTTATTAAACAACGAGATGTTTTATCTGTTGGCCAAACTCCATCTAAAGTAACTTCAGCCTTCCTGTAATGTACAACCAAGTAAAGTGTAAAACCAGAAAGGATATTAAAGCCAGAAAGCCAAGTAACAACATCTGTATAAATAACAAACAAAAGTACCTGTTACTTTAGAATTACTTTGCAGATGTTTCATAAACTTGGGTGTTGCCCGCCAAAGGTAGATAAGCTTAAGAGCAAGGAATTACCCCACATTACCTAGCTCAGTATCTAGTTCAAGTCAAATTCCATTTATTTGATATAACCATGGTACAGCGATTATTCCCAACTAATTTTAATAACACTTAAGCTCTGCATCCTTGACCAAGTCCAATGCTAATAGTCCAGTGGTCATAGCACACTGTTAAGACATAAATCTTACTGAAGGTCTTAAAGTGCTATTGTACTTACAGCAACAACCAATGATTAACAACAAATGCTTGCAGGATGTAGTAGTATTAGGGCATCATAACATTAACTATTATATAACGAGTGTGAGGATTACTATAATAGGGGTAATATACTCCATCTAATATCACTGACATCAAGGACGTGTGTCCTGTTCATTCTGAATGTCTTGCACCTAGTACAGTGACCAGCAGCACATAAGAAAAGATATTTTAAAAGTTATTTTTTATTGTGGTAAAAAGGTATAACATAAAATTTACCATCCTAGCCATTTCTAACTATACCATTCAGCAGTGTTAAATATATTCACGCTGTTGTGCAACCCATTTCCAGACTTTTTCATCTTGTAAAACTGGAAACTCTAAACCCATTTAAAAAACATCAAAAATCATTTAACCAAATATGTGAGGGTTTATTTCTGGGCTTTCTATTCTGTTCCATTAGTCTATATGTTTGTCTATATGCTAGTACCACTCTACTTTGGTTATTGTAGCTTTGTAGTTAGATTTGCTTCGGCTTTGCTCTTTTTCAAGATCAGTTTGGCTATTCTGGGTCCCTTAAGATTCCATGATTTTATGAGGGATCTTTTTCTATTTCTGCAAAAAAGGCTGCTGGAATTTTGACAGTGATTGCATTAAATCTGTAGATCACTTCAGATGATACAGACATCTTAATATTAAGCCTTCCAATTCTTAATATTAAGCCTTCCAATTCATGAACATGGGATATCTTTCCATTTATTTGCCTTCTTTAATTTCTTTCTACAATATTTTATAATTATCAGAATACACATCTTTTGCATCCTTGGTTAAGTTTATTTGTAAGTATTTTTTGTTTTTGATGCTATTGTCAATGATTTTCTTAATTTGCTTTATGGATCTTTTGTTGACATAGAAGTTCCAACTGATTTTTGCATGTTGCTTTTGTATCCTGGTACTTTGCTGAATTCATCTAGTCTAACAGTGGTATCTGGGGGAGAGGGTGGTATAATCTTTAGGGTTTTCTACAGATAAGATTATATCATTTGCAAACAATGATAATTTTACTTCTTCCTTTCCAATTTGGATGACTTTTCTTTTTCTTGCTTAACTGCTCTGACTAGGACTTAAAAGTATGATGTGTTTGAGTGGCAAAAGCAGGTGTCCTTGTCTTGTTCCTGATCTTAGAAGGAAAGCTTTCAGTCTTTCACTATTGAGTATGGTATTTGCTGTGGGCTTCTCAAATACGGCCTATATTATGTGTTGAGGTAGTTTCCTTCCCTCTCATTTACTGAGTATCTTTAGCATGAAAGGTTGTTGAATATTGCCAAATGCTTTTTCTGCATCAGTTGAGATGATAAGGTGATTTTATTACTTCATCCTATGTGATGTACTACAATGATGGATTTTCATGTTTAATGATTCTTGCACTCCAGAAATAAATCCCACTTGGTCATAGTGTGTATCTTTTCTATGTACTGTTGAATTATGTTTGTTAGTGTTTTGTTGAGGATATTTATACACACCAGTAATACTAGTCTGTAATTTTCTTGCTTATAGTGTTTTCGTCTAGCTTTGGAATGAGGATAATGCTTGCCTCATAGAATGAATAAGGAAGTTTTCCCTCTTTTAGTTTTTCTGAAGAGTTTTGGGAGAATTGGTGTCAATTCTTCCAAGTTTGGTAGAATTCACCATAAGTCACCTGGTCTTGGGCTTTCTTTGGAGTGGTGGAGGGAGGGGGAAGAGGGACATGGGTTTTATTATGGATTCAATTTCCTTATTAGTTAACAGGGCTGTTTTAGACTTTCTGCTTCTTTGTGGTTCGATCTTGGTAGGTTGTGAACATAAATAAATGACTTTAACTATGGTTCTTTCACTTCGCTAAAGAGATGTTAGAAGATAGTATCTCACACTAAAATACAGAGAGAGTTAAAGCATGGTCACAGCCAGAATTAAGAAAAAAATAAAATACTTCAAAAGTGTTTTTGGAAACAAACAGTTGGACCCGATAATATTAGGGAAAAGGAGTCAAAAAGTCAGTGTAGCATTTCTTTATCAAATATATATATATATATTTTTAATTTTGATATCATTAATGTACAAATACTTGAACATTATGGTTACTAGACTCCCCCCATTATCAAGTCCCCCCCACATACCCCATTATAGTCACTATCCATCAGCATAGTAAGATGCTATAGAATCATTACTTGTCTTCTCTGTATATACTGCCTTTCTTTTGTACCCCCGCCCCACATTATGTGTGCTTATCATAATGCCCCATTTTCCCCCTTATCCCTCCCTTCCCACCCATCCTCCATAGTCCCTTTCCCCTTGGTAACTGATAGTCCATTCTTGGGTTCTGTGAGTTTGCTGCTTTTTTGTTCCTTTAGTTTTTTCTTTGTTCTTATACTCCACAGATAAGTGAAATCATGTGATACTTGTCTGCTGCCTCGATTATTTCACTAAGCATAATACCCTCCAGCTCCATCCATGTTGTTGCAAATGATAGGATTTGTTTTCTTCTTATATCATATATATTTTTAAATCAAAGTGGAGAAACAATAATCACTCGTACTTAAGTCAGAAAAGCAAGTGCAGAAAATGTATTAACATGAACACATTTGTATTTGAGAAAAAAAATTGTGATTTAGCTGATTATTTTCTAAGTAGGTATATAAATTCATACCTATTTAGCCCTTCACCCTCAGGTGGCTTCTGATCATCATCTATATAGACAATCACTTCTTTCCTTCGGATATGTACAATATCATCCAAATTTAGATTTGTCAAATTCACTTCTCCTTCAAAATAGATTGAACCATAACCTATAAGTCAGAGCAAATAGTTAAAAATTCAACCTGTAGAGAGAGTAAATACCTACTTCATACTTCTAGTTATTAAATAATCAGGAGAAGCAAGAAAGCTTAGACATTAAACAGTATTTTAAATCATCCAGCGACATCCTTGAATGGATTATTTCATCCATCAAATAAACTGTTATCTGGTGTAACATCTATATTTTGACCAGTTATGGTATCCTCAAAATAGCCTTCTTAAATCTCTTCCCAAGTATCTGTACTGCTGCTACATAAACAAACTTTAGCACCTAGCCTGCGACTGAGTTAAAATATGGGAATCCTTTTTAATACAGATAGGTGAGATTTTTTTCTCCCTAAAGAAAATTACATCTTAATAACTTAATAATACTAAGTTGAACCTAAATATTACCCATCTCTTGTCAACTATTCAATTTTCTCAGTACTTCTTGCTGTTCACAGTATATTCTTTAATTGTAGAAAATTGCAATGAACCAAGCAGGCACCAAAGAACCAAATAGTTACCAGAGATTAGTTTTGTTACTTGTCAAAATGTCTACTACTCAGGCCAAGGTGGGTCCAAATATAAGAATAAAATAGACTCAGCTATTAAAATTTCCTTTACTCAATTACAAAAATGAGGTGCAGATCTCTGACTTACACACTACTAACTCCTAAACCACACTCACCTTTACGACCAATAGTAAAATCAGAGACAATGCACTCTCCTTTATCATTGGTAATTTTAGCAAGGTCATCCATAGATGGAACAGTATAGTAACCAGCCTTAGTGAGAACAATGCCTATGACAAAGAAACAGAAAATAAAATATTGTGATTGTTCTTAGGTAGAGGAATTTTTAGTAATATTTATTTCACCTTTTCCCTTTTGAAATTTTTCTACAGAATGAGTATTTCTAATAATGATTATTAATTATACTGAAATAATCAGTAATGAAATTTGGCAACTCATAAAATAATGAAGTCCATTTAACTTCACTTAATCCAGTGTTTCCAAAATTTAATTTACCTCAGAACTTTCTTTTCATATGACAGCTATTAACTACTGTACTATGAAAAGCACTCCATAAAATACATTCTGGGAAAGGCTTACTTAATCCATTTGTTCTTTTGTTTTACATATGGAGATACCAAAACCCAGTGTGGAAAGAACCTATCTTGGCTTACATAGTAATTTCAGTGGAGCTAAAACTCCAAACCCAATCCTTTCATAGCCTATAGTCTTCATAAACCTCTCATATCTTTCAAATTTATATCCCCAAGCAGAGAGCTAAAATAAAGATGAAAAATCCTACACGAAAAAGTCCCACAGATAAATGGAAACTTAAAGGTCTACATTAAGTGTACAAAATATTAACTAGGCAGATAAGACCTCAAGAAAACAGAAAATTGGTATGCTTGTTCTAATCGCTCCTTGTCTCATTATGTAGAGATCAGGCTAACTTGTTCCCCAAGAGAAAAAATTTAAAGCCAATATCAGATCAAATTCCATCCTCCAGCAATGCCAATGCCCACTTACATACTTAACTTGCTTTTCTAATGGCAATGTTAGAGGGTTGCTAGAGTGTCCTTGAGAATAGGATTTTAAATTGGGAGGTGGCAAACATGGTTAATGAGAAAACTAGAAACAATAAAAAATTTAGACCGGGTATTTGAAGAAAATACAGTATAATAAAAAATTCATGTAGATACATACACACAAATATATATACTTGAATGCTTAATGTGAAAGTATAAAGACTTTTTCTTAGAGCATCAAGTGACCAGGAGATATTGCATGAAGGCAGTAAGATGATTAGATAAAAAAATTTTATAGACACTTCAAGAATAACTGTAGAACAATCCAAATGTTCACTAACAGAGAATGGATAAACCAAATGTGGCATATCTCTATAAAGGAATACTACTCAGCAATAAATACGAATGAACTATTGATTTATACTTCATGGATAAAATCTCAAAAAAGTTACAGAGTCAAAGAAAGTATATATAGTATGATTCCATTTATATGAAATTTGACAGAAACCAGACTGTGGTTAACTTCTGGGGATGAAGACACATACAACTTTCCAGAGTGAAAGAAATGTTCTATCTCTTGACTGAGGTGTTGGATATCTGAGAATATGTCTCAATTCACTGAAATGAACACTTAAGATCTGTATAATTCACATGTGAATTGTACCTCAGAAAATAAAAGTAATGTAATGACTTTGATCAAAACCCAAATGAGATGTTGTATCAACACAGAAAAAAGGCAAGCTTTAAATATCTGATCAAGGCACTCTAATCTTGTAGTCTCTACTGTTTCATGGATTATTGTGGAAAAAACTAATCAGTTCACTGTTGGGAGAAAAAAAAGTACAGAAGTAAGGTGATAAATAACTATAGCAATGGCTACTATTTGAATGCTTATACATGTCAAAAATTATGGTCTATATTCTTAATCTAATTCAAATCTCAAAAAACCTAAAAATAATTACCACTATCATTTTAGTTAAAAAGCTAGTAAGTGATCTGTGTGAGTTTGTAAAGCTAGCAAAGATATGAGGATAGTTTCTCCAGCTATAAAATTTGGGATCTTTAAATTATACCAGGAATAATTAGTGACATGAATTTTACTACAAAGGTATAAAATATTAATTACAAATCAAAGCATATGTGAAAACTGTTTAAATGTTAACTACTATAAAATGTAATAGAGAACATATAAAGGTACACATTGCTGATTTCCACTATGTTTGAAAATCTGTGACAAACAAGGTCTTGAATGACTGGTAAGAGATTACTCATGTACTAATCTGAATCTGACCTGCTGGATGCTTATGGTAAGTATTATTTTCTATTTCTTCTCGGTCATCCTGCAGTGACTCCTCATGAAAAGAGGTCTCTTCACTACTTCCTTCCAGACCATTTCGCAAGGCAGCACGCATGTTTAATGCAACAATGGTATCATCCACACCGTTGCTGCTGTTGTGTTTATTTCCAGAACCCTCTAGGGTTTGAGGAATGGGTTTGGCAATAGGGTTACTATAAAAACGTGACACAAGAGAATCATCATCTCCATCCTGCTGATGGTTCTCATCAACGGGTTTGCTCAGGAAACTGAATCTGAAGAGAGAGTAAAGAAACAAATAGTGTCTTAGCAACCTGTAGTAGCAGTAACAATGATTAACAGCTAATTCTTTGAGCCTTTACTGTCTGGTACTGTTCTAGGTAATTCCATGTATGAAAAATTCATTTAATACTTAAAGCAATCATGTAAAACAGGTTACTATCATTCTATTTTATAGAAAACATACAAAAATAAAGTAACTTGCCCAAGGTCATAAAGCTCTAAGTGCTAGAATTGGGATATTTAACCCAAGATATTTGGCTGTAGATTCCATGCCTTTAACTGATCTATTTTCATGAATAAATAACCTTGAGCATCCCAATTTTTTTTATTTTGGTATCATTAATATACAATTACATGAGCAACATTGTGGTTACTAGATTTCCCCCAGTATCAAGTCCTCAGCTATACCCCATTATAGTCACTGTCCATCAGCATAGTAAGAGAGCATCCCAATTTTTAATTAGAGAAAAAAAGGTGTTCTTTATGTAGTGTCAAATAAGTAATGGTGAATTTCAAAATAAACTGAAAAAATTTTATATTTTCAATATGATAGTCAGCAAGTTATTAGAAAATGCTACATGACAAACCAAAATAGAATTTTATCCAAAGGGAAAAAAGGGAGTGCAAAGACAGATGGAATTTTTTCACTGAAGCATTACTTTGAATATAGGAATACCAAAATAATCAATATGTCCTCTAATAGAGAACTAACTGAATGATCTACATCTACAATGGTGGCTATCGAGTACTTAAAAAAGTGAGGGCAGGTATATTCATTCATATTGATACAGAAAGGCATTTACAATAAATACAAGTAGGTTACAAAATATTGTATCACTCATGCATAATTTCTAAATATAAGGATATATTTATAAATAAACAAATTTCTAAACTGTAAGAATGTATATCAAACCTTTAAGCATTAGTATATACTACTTCTTCCTTCATATACTTCTATACTGATTTTGGTTTTGGTTTGATTACAGTGACTATATATCACTTAAATAATTATCACAAACAAAATAGCCCTTATTTTAATGGAACTGACAAGTATCAAATGCATGCTAATCCTGCCCAAAACGGCATACATGGATACAAAAACAGTTTTGCAGAATCGAACTAGAAGAACTCTCTAATCATTTTAAGATCTAAAGTACTCAAGAAGCAAAAACATGATTTAATTTCTAGGTCTTCATATGCTATAATACTTCTATGAAACATTCACAAGACTTCCTAAGTTTTCACAGAATGAATAAATGTTCAGCTCAGAATCTCTTCAAAATGAGAACAGGGCTCTCTGCCCAAAACAACTGAGAACTGAAGATAATTCAGTTTACCTCTCTCCATTTTCTGGATAATCAGATGGTGAAGCTAGATCTTCCGAATCACGATTAACAGGAGAGAAGAGATTGCTATTGCTAAGGTTTTTCAAAACCAATTTCTTAATGCTCTTCCTATAAACAAAGACCAAAAAAGAGGGAGGGGAAAAACAACTTAGGCATACACAATTAAATCATAGACATTATTTTAAAAACTGCAGTTGAAAAGGGTACTCTTGTTCAACTTATATATAAAAATGAACAAATAATTTCAATTCACAAACTCTGCCTATAAATACATAACCAGAACATAAGGTCTCAAGTATACTGCACTCTGTTGTTTGGAAAAATAGGCTAAGCATATTCAAAACAAATTGGGAAATCCTCTTGAAAATATTGATCCTTCTCTGAATCTCATGATTCAGATGAGTTCACTCATCACACTATGTCTTGTATTTCAATTATTTCTCTACATGTCTTCTCTTTAAATGTTTCTTTTTTTTCCCCACATGTTCTTTCTTTTTCCACAGTCAGGATTTATGACTGTCTCCTCACAGAACTCGGTATGCTGCACTGGAGAAAGTTGGTGAACAGATATTTGTTGACTAAATAAGAAAAAAAAAAGTTTTTAAGATGACAGGAATAGTAAAAAAAACCCTGATATCCAAAGATGCAAATGATCACAAATACCTAAAAAGTTCAGGTTTGTGCACTGTAGGTTTACTTAAGGCAAGAGACTCTATAGCATACAAGCTTCAAGTAGAAGAACCATTAGGAAGAGATCTTAATCAACCACTACTTAAAAGCTTACTGGATTAACTAGTGTATTCCTTTCCCTCTTGAAAAAAGCAAACAGTTGTAAGTAGTAGAGTGATCTTGTACATTTGTTTATTTCTAGCCTCAACCACTGAGTTAGATGGTAACAAACATCAGAATATTTGTTCCATAGCTGTGTATGCTAGTTATACTCCTTATGGTAACAACGTTATTAAAAGTAATGTTTTAAGTCAATGCAATGAATACTTGACACTAAAGAAATGTTATTTCCATGAAAACTAAAATTTGCCCTCCTATTAATGGCAGACTAGGTAATGCAAACTAACCCTCCTAGGGAGGGTAACTAAAAAAGCTAGAGCTCTTTGAAGCATCAAGAGCCAAGATGGTAATAAAATGACTGAACCAGCAACCTGGGGGACAAGTGGCACAGGGAGGTGTGCAGTATTTAGGGTTGCTTTTCTACTGGAGACTTTTCTGGTTCCAAGGGGAAGGCAAAGAGGCTGATGGTACACTTCACAGTCTTGTGGGATTAGGGAGACAGAGATTAGACTCAGGACACCAAGAGGATGGCTACACTAGTGATTGCCATTCATTTTGCATAGGGACCCAGAAAGTCTTATATCTAGAGTTCACAGTACAAGTAAAAACACACTGTTTTGACTTATCTCAATAAACATCTGTCATAAAGCCAACAAATCTCTGAAGGTCAGTATCATCACCCTTCAATTACTGTCAGTTTTGAAAATATAAGTGATGGAAATTTTAAAAAGCCAGACACAAAGGAGACAAGGTATTTCTTCAAAGATAAATGGCCAAAAAGCACATGGTAAGATGACCAACATCATTAGTCATAAAAGAAATCCAAATTACAAGCAAAAGATACCACTTCACATCCACTAGGATGGCTATTAAAAAACAAAACAGTAAATAACAAGTGCTGACAAAGATATGGAGAAAACATACACTTTTTGCTGGTGAGAATGTAAAATGGTGCAGCTACTGTAGAAAACAGTTTGGCAGTTACTTAAAAGGAAAAATATAGAATTAACATATGACCAAACAATTTCAGTCCTAGGAATATATTACCCAAAAGAACTGAAAATGGGGACTCAAACAGATACTTGTATATCAGCATTCATAGCAGCCCTATTCACATAGCTAAAAAGGTGGCAACAATCCAAATGTCCATCAACAGATGAATGGATAAAAAAAATGTGGTATAGCCATACAATGGAATATTCAGCCTTAAAAAGGAATGAAGTTCTGATATATGATACAACATAGTGAACCTTAAAGACATCATGACAAGTAAAATAATCCAGACACAAAAGAATATTGTTTGATTCTCCTTAAATGAGGAAATTTATACTGACACAAAGTAATACAGAGGTTAAAAGAGACTGAGGGAAGGAAGAAATAAGTAATTACTGTATTATACAGTTACTGTTTGGAATGATGAAAAAATTATAGAAGTAGTGATGATGGTCACACAATATTATAAATGTACTTAATGCCACTGAATTGTATACTTACCATAAAATTTATCATTTCAACCATTTTTATGTTTTTTTTACATGAAAAGTTAGTATGTAGTAAAAAAAACAGGTAAAATACAAGTGATTTGAGGCACACATTTTAGAGGCTTTTAAATATTAAAAATTGATAAATTAAGGATAAATGGATAAATTTACAGATGTGTTCATAATTTTTGTGATAGTGAAAGTTAAGAAAATTAAATAGCTGAAATATCCAACCCCCTCTGCCCCCAAAAAATCAGTATGAATACAAAGACCTAAAAATTAGCAGGCTCCATCTTTAAGATCACCATACCCAACAACTACAAAATGTACATTCTTTTCAAATAAAAACTAAACCGTATGTTTTTTAAAATTAATTGTATGTTGGACTATGAAAGCAAGCTGCAAATTTCAAAGAATTGAAATCACTGGGAGTACTTTTACACATAGCTAGAAACCATTAACAACAAGGTAACAAAAATCTCCAATTTATACTTGTAAATAACCCAAGGAAATCAGAAAGCATTTGACTATCACATAGTTATTATCTGAATGATGAGTATTCCATATCAAAAGTTAGACTGTAAACGGAGCTGAACAAATGCATGTATTTGGAAAGGAAAGCTAAACATCAAAGAGCTAAGCATCTATTTAGAAAAAAGACAGAAAATTAAATACCAAAAATAAAGGCAGGGAGAGGAATTAAAGATAAAATGTTAGTGAAAATATAATAAAATTTAAAATAAAATAGGGAACAATCACAGAATAGAGACCATCAATAATGCCAGAGGTCTTCCTTGAAAATAACCAATAAAATTGGTAGATCCTTGACCAGAATAACTGAGAAGACACACAACCTGGAAACCCCCTGGACTGTACCTATGCAACCCCAGCTGCCCCACTAGCGTGACCCCAGCTGGCATCTACCCAGGAGACCTCTGAACCATGCCTTCTGACATGGCTGTCCTGCCAGCACAACCCTGGCTGGCAAGAATAGAGGAGACCCCTGGCCCATGTTCTGGCAGCACCTGCACCAGGATACCCTGGTTCATGCCCACCCAGCCTCCAGTAAGCCAGCCAAAACCATTCTTACACAAAGCCAGGCCTTCAAGATTGGGAGAGGTAGCCCTTTCACCTAACCTACAGAGAAAAAAAACAAGACAGAGAAAATCAAATAAAATGAAGACACACGAATATGCCTGACACAAGGAAGACAAGGCACAAAAAAAACCTATGCCACAAATGAAAACAAGGATAACTACAGAATCTACCGAAATGAAAAAGAGTAAGAATACTTTTTAACAACTTCATGCCCAATAAATCTGGAATTTTGACTACTTCAAATGAACAAATATTATAAAAATATAACTTGCCACCAATGACTCAAAAAATAAAAAAGGTGAAGAGTTCATAAGTTTTAAATAAATTAAATCAATAATTTAAAAACAACCTTTACTGCAACTACTACTTCCAGGCCCTTATATCTTCACCAGTACCCAACATTTAATGAAACAAAAAAAAAAGGCCTATCTTACACAAACTCTAGCAGAAAATAATCTGTTTATGAGTTCAGCATAAACCTTATACCAAAACCAAAGAAACATTCAGGCCAATCTAAGTCATGAACACAGATGGCAAAATATCCTGCACAAAATTTACATTAAATCTTACAATCAAGGAAGCTACCAAACACTATCAAGGCCTGTGGAAAGGACTCAGGAGCCAACCTGAAAGGACTCCTGCTGGCCGAGGATGGGACTTGATCATCATAGAAAACAGTAACTGCAATGGTCTGAAACACAGTGACTGAGTGAGGAGAGAAGAAAGATTGTTTCACATGAAGAACATAATAACCAGAGGACAAGAAACTAAACATTAAACTAACAGCGTCAGGCAAAGTGAAGAGGACTGGGATTAGAAATATGAAGTGAGGTAAGTACAAAGGACAAATACGAGAAGCCAAAGAACAGAAAAGTGTAGCAAAACTAATTTGGGAAAGCAGAACTATGTGATTTCAAAGACTAGATTTGTTTCAACAGTAAAATACTTAACAAGCAAAACGAATGATTCATATGTATTTTGCCATATTTATGTCATTGTGTTCAACTGGCTTATAGGAATATAGGTATGATGTAGGAATGAATCTGACCTTTATATATTTAACTTGTATTCCACAACCTTGCTACATTTACTCCTTAGTTCACAACTGACATACACTAAAATGCACATACTAAGCTGTACGACTTGATAAGTTTTGACATTTGTATACAACAGTGAAACATCATCACAACCAAGAAAAATAGCCAGACATAACATAGAGAAGTTTCCTCATATTCCTTATAACTGCTCCATTGTACCCTCCTAGACATCTCCCTTACCAGCAGGCAGTAACTTGCATTTTCTAGTATTTTACATAGTGAAAAAAGCCATTAATTTAGTAATTACATGATAGAATACAATTCAGTTAGGTCATGTGTGAAACAAACACTGAAATGATTACTGGAAAATAAAATCATATCCATTTGAAATAACTGTTTGTATATTTACAAGCAGAAACATAAAAATATGCCCTCTTCCTGACAGTTCTCCCTATCCCTATTCAGTTTAAATGATATCCTTAGAGGAGCTTTCCTTCATCATTCTGTTAGTCTCATTTACAGTGGCAATCTCTACTTCTGTCACTTGTCTCACTTTTGATTACTCTGCGAGACATTTCTCTTCCCCCACTGACTGTGAACTCAATGGCAGTGGAATGTGTCTTGTTCACAGCTGCATTGCCAGTGCCCATTACACCTGGCACTTAGTAGTTTCTTGATATATGTTTGTTGAATGAAGGAATGAAAAAGAGGTATTAAAGAAAATTACCAAATTTTGTCATTCAGAATAAAAAAATGTACCGGCTTACTCTACAGTAAATTCCCTCTGACTAGTAAGAAAAGGAAAAAGGAAAAAGACATGGCATTGGTAAGGTTCACTAAATTTGTCTTTCAGAGCAAACAGCACTGTTCTAGCGCTGGCCGTAAGTTCCTCATGAGCCCTTTACTATCTGTGCTACTGCAGATAGTAAACTATTTACAGAGCCATAAAGTGGTAAGGATTCTGGGCAATCTTTGAAGGTAGAACAAAGATTTGCTGACAGCTTGGATGTGAGATGTACAAAAAAGTCAGGGATGATTCTAAAATTTTTGACCTGAGCAACTAGAATGATAGAAATGCAGTTACCTGAGAGAGGGAAGGCTTTGGATGGAACAGTTTTGAGGTAGAAGATCAGGAGTTCAGTTTTTGACATTTTAATTTTGAATTAAATATCTCTTAGACCTCCAAGTGGAAATGCTGAGTAGGGCTGGGAATCACCAGACTACAGGTGATATTGAAAGCCATGAAATAAATTAAATCACTGTGGGAGTAAAGAAAATGTTATCAAGAACTGAGCCCAGGGCTCAGTCCAATTTTAAAAGAATGGGAAGAAGAGGAACCAGCAAAAGAGACAGAAGGAGTGACCCGTAAGATAGGAAGAAAACTAGATAAGTGTGGGGTTCCTGGAAGCAAAATGTACACCGTCTCCCCTTCATCCTTTTTATTTGTATATTATACTTGCAAATCCTAAGGAGACCTGGTGAAATTGCCCTCAAAGTTGCTTAGTGATCTGATGGCTGGATTGGTGAATCTAAGCCCTTTTTATCCACTGTGTCAAACATCTCGCTAAATGCTAGCAACATACACATGAAGACAGTCCCTGCCTTCAAAATAATCCAATGATGTTCTAAGAAATGTATAAAATTAGACTTTCTATCTTTCACAATGCAGCAAAACACCATATTTTTAAGGAAAGGTGTGGTAATTTTTAAACAACATTCATAGACAAAGAACTATAAGTGATACATCTCAACTTTTTGTCCAACACTAAATAAAAGGACACCGCACTTTTCTTTCTGATTAGGAAAGTACTTGCTGTTGAAAGCCTATGTATGTGTGTGTGTGTGCCTACCTAGAAAAATAAACAACCCAGAAATGAAATGCTCTCAAATTACATCTCTAGATGTTAACTACTGTTAACAGTTTGGTACGTACTTTTCTTCAGCATTTTTTCTCTGATGCATATTTATCAACACTGTAAGGCATATTTGCTCTAATGCATAATTTAAGTGTAATCTTCAATGTTTATTAACTCTTCTATATTGTTGTACATTTTTCTGTGTAATTATTTCATTATTGGTTCAGTATCTGCCCAGGAATTTAAAAATGTGTGTATTCTTCTTGATCAATTTGGCCAATGTGAATTGTACAAAAAGAGTTTCTCCTGCTTAAAATAAAATTATGTGAACACTAACTTCTAAAAAACAGAAAAATGTGCATATGTGAAACTAGAAGCATGTTGATCAAAATATTTATATGTTAACTATGATTATCCCTGGGAATGATCAGGTCATTTTTATTATTCTCTGATCTATAGTTTTCAAATTAAAAAACAAAACAAAATATAAACTGCTAACATTTGCAGTGCATTTAAATGAATAATTATATACTATTTTATACTTGGCTTATATTAACATTTTACATTTAATTTATGCTAACCAAAATAAACTCACTTGGGCATGAATGCTCCATTAGCTAAGGATGGTTCATCATCATCCAGACCATCAAAGAGATGTGACTTGGCAGTGCCTGTTGTTTGTAAAGCCTTTGGTCGGACTCTGGTGGCAGGGCGGGGTGTCAGTTTATAATGAGTAGGTGTGGTGAGAGCCTTCTGGGCTGCTGGATTTGTTGGTTTCAATCTCTGAAAAACAAAAGCATCAAGGAAAGTTCTAGTTTAATTCAAATGTATGGCCTTAAAAATCAGAAGACCAGAGGTCAAACCTCATCTCTGCTACTCACCCACTGGATACCTCTTTAAGTCTTAGCTCCCAAAAAACAAGGATGTGAACACTCAGCTTTGCTTGTGTGTGAATGCTAATGAACTGTCTACTGTTTCTCTATAACCAATTTTTACTCATCTCTCCAGCCCCCATTTTTAATGGTCTGACTTGTTATAAAAAATAATTGAGATACTGCATTTGAATTGCTTAGTGAGTAGAGGAAAGATATAAGTAAACTAAAATTTAAGGTTGATTTGACAGCACTTTTACTGTTTCTATAGCACCTTTCGGATACATTTGTTTTCCTAAACAATAGGTATACAAGGGATTATATGATATGACCATTGGAAACAAAGTCTATCATATAAAACCTGTCACAATTTATTCTTCTCTTTACAATGTAGACTGTTTACACTTAAGTAACAATGAACCTTCTCAGATCTTTTTTTGCAGCTCTTTTGCATGTGCCTTTGCTTGGAATGTCTTGAACTGTATCTACCAACTTCTATATACATACTCAAAAAAGTTAAATGTTACCTTTCTGCAAAGCCTTATATCAAACTCACCCAAGAATCTGTGTTCTTTCATTTTTAAATATTTATTAAGATAAAATTCACCATCTTGATGCATACAATTCAGTGTTTTAATTATTTATAAGGTTGTGCAACTATCATCACTATCTAATTCTAGAACATTTCTCCCAGTACAAAAAATAAATCAAGTACTTCCTCCAGTTCCACCCCTTATCCCTTGGCAAACATGAATCTACTTTCTGTCTATGGATTTGCCTATTCTAGGCATTTTATATAAATGGAATCATGTCACCTTTTGTCTTTTTTCACTTAGCATGTTTTCAAGGTTCATCCATGTTGTCCTGTATGTCAGTACTTCATTCCTTTTTATAGCTGAATGATATCCCATTGTATAGATATACAGTATTTGCTTATCTACTTATCATTTGTTGGGCTGTTCTATTTTATTACTATCTATATTATATTGAGCTTGAGTAAATTTAAACACAGGGCTGATCATCTTCACTAAATAGCAAGCTCTTACGTGAGTAATCTCTTTTGTTTTCATTTTGAATCCTCAGTGCTGAACACAGTAACAAACACATTTAGGCACCTAAAATTACATTGTATGTATAACATAATTTTTGACTTATATTTACCTGGCACTTTAGAAGCACTTTAAACTTGTATTTTGCTTCTCATTATATCGAGTTACAAGATTTAAGAACCAGCTGAGGGCTGAGATGATATAATGACTGAATAATAATTTCTGTATACTGAGCAACTCACTATAAGCCAGGTATGCATAGTCTCATGTAACTCTCAACAATGAATAGTATTAACTATTCCCATTTATAGAAGAGGAAACACATTCAGAGAGGCAAATACATGCTCAATGTCTCATAGATTGTAAGTGAGAAAACAAGATTAAACAGACACTAGTTTTAATGCCACACCAGTGAAGAAAGGATCATTTCTTTGCCACTAGAGCATAAGATATTAAGATGATGCTATGTAGAAATCAGGAGAAAAGATTCTGATTTGCCACTTATGAGCATTATGATTTTAGGAAAAGTCAGCCTATCTGAGTCTTAATTTGCTCAATTATAAAATGAGAATAATACCTGCCTTACTTTAAGGCTGTTGAAAAGTCTAGCCCTCACCTCCAGTCCAATGCTCACTTCACTGTTTGTCATATTGTCTTCTAGATACAGCAAAAATAATTTATACCTTACTTAGTAAAAACCATAAATAATGTATCTTAAGAACTTCATTATACCTTACTTTGCTTAGGCTATATATGTAAGAAATTCTAAACACTTAGTGTCTCCAGCTCTGAGAATACATTTTACAAAGGCACCCTTAAATTTACCTCTTCTTTCTTCTTAGGATCTGACATGGGATTCCGGAAGAGAGGAGAGTCTCCAAAAGGTGAGTATGTTAAACTATTGATGTGCTGTTGGAGAACAGCCTGCTGGGCAGCAGAAGCACTGGGATCTGTCAAAGCTTTTTAAAAATAGGAAAGAAAAAGCAAGATATCAGGGCAAAGATCTAGTGCATTTATAG